AAACTCAGATCAAATCTGACTTAGGTATGACAACAACCAATGAAGCAAGCAGCAGTTTATGCAGTGGAGAGAATGCTGTGAAGTTAATGGGGGCTGCTATATTTCCTGAATTGTACAGGACTGTCTCATAGAAAGATGAATTGTATTGTCCTTTGAGGAGCTGTGGGCTCCCCTATTAAGATTTAAAGACTCGGGTATTTTCATAAAGGGCTGTATTTTAACTTGACTTTGATATTAATTAGGAGGTTTTTAGGCAGATGGGGTGAGGGTACAACTATAGGGATAGAAAGTTTTGAATATCCCTGGTATATTTGGGGTAGCAGCTGGCTGTAATTGAAAGGAATGATGAAACTTCCACAACTCCTTAATATGTCATATAGGCAGATATCATAGAAATAGTTCCTTGGCTAGAAAAGAGAAACTGGAGGGAAAAAAGATGTGTTAAGTAGTTACCATTATAAATGTTGAAAGGACAAGAGACAGAAGTTTCTGAGGTAGACTGGTCTTGGTGTGTTTCATTGACTTAAGAGAGTAGGTGCTTTGTAGGGAGAGAATAGTCATGTATAGCTGAGATTTTATCTTCTATGATTAGGATCACTACATGAAATGTTACACAAAGGGAGATCGGAGGTTTGGAGTTCAGATGTTGGGAAGCAAGCAGTTTTGTTGTTGATACTACCGTACAGATCTTTTTCCAGGAAGGTATTCTCCTGCTAGTGGAGAAGATAGTAGTTGAGGTAAAGTAGTGTGATGGGGGAGTCAACGTTGAAAGGCAAGTCAGGTGAATGAGGCTAACCATCATATTCCTTAAACTAATATTTAAGCCCTTATTTTATTCTACACACATAAAGTTATAGGTGCATTTTCTTAAAAACTAGTAATGTTGAGGATTCATGTGCCTACCGGCCATTTGTTAATCTTCAGAGAAACATATTCAGATCCTTTTTCCATTTTTATGTTGGGTTTTTGTGTTGTAAGGCTTCATGTATTCTGGATATGTTTCTGGATACAATACCTGATAATTGACATTTTTGAGGTCTATAACTGCTTTCAGTTTTAGTTTCACCATCACCGTTCTGCTTTGTGATCGTAGATGTGTAACTATCAGTTTGTACTAAGGACATTTAGTTTGTTTGTAAGTATTATAGTGTTGTTTTAGACTGGAAAAATTACGGAATTCTGGGCTCTTTGGAAATTATATATAGACCATAGACATATGTCTGTGGAAACAACAAACTAGAGTGATGCTATTCAGTAGAGCTTTCTGTGATGCAGATACTCTGTATCCGCACTATTAGGCAGTAGATAACAGCCACATGTGACTATTCAGCATTTGTTTAAGAGATTGTAATGTATATATAGAGTCCTGGTAGCTACAGAGTTTGAGGCAATTACCAGTCATCAATTAGGAGTTTTTTAACTAAATGGATGGAAAAATCTGTTCTTTGATTCTTAAAACTCCATACATAACGTTTGCAGTTGTGTTATATTGTTTTCTGTGGTTTCCTATAGATATATCCAACAGACCGCATTTTACTGATACTCATTGGGATCTTAGTTACCTTCCTTTTGTTAAATCATTCCTTTTGAATCTCATCATGGATTTATACATGTTTCTTTTGTACCTAAATATAAAGCATGTTTATCAGAAATAAGTAGTATTCTAGATTTGGTCCTGATCAGCTCAGATAGAATGGAATATTCTTCTTGTTTTTAAATTAGTGATTTTTTATTTTTTTGTGAATATGTATATTCACACAATTTTAGCAAATCAGGGATTCTCAGATATTCGGAAGCCCAAACACAGTAACCTATAAAATCAGTCCCTTTTCCAGGAAAACCAAAATCAAGCAGGAAGAAGCTATCTTGAAGTTTTTTCTTTGTAGGTAAAAAATAATGAAGCAGAAGAAAGAAATACCTTCTAAGTCTTGAATGAGATTGTAATGGGATTGCATAAACCAAATTTGATAAATTAATATTGTACTGGGAGGAAAATAATCTTAATTAGATTGCTCTCACCTATAAAATTAATGCTGTGACTTATTTTTTTAAACCCGATTTTTGTGGGTTAGAATACCTGATAACTAGTTGGTTTCCAGAATTAACCTCTTAGGTATTTGATAATTCATATGCCTAAAATTATTCATCTAAATTCTTAAGACAGGCAACAGGTATGTTACATTAAATGTATTCAGGAGAATATAGATTTTTACTAATTCTAGTTGTTTCAACTTTGATAGTAATTGAAATGTATTAGTATTATTTAGATTTTGAGACCCCTTACTATAGTCATTTAAGAAGCTTGTTTTTTAAAACCTGTATTTTTAATAAATTCCTTGTAATGCTTGTGTTTTAGCTTAGAGATGAGGATAGAGGTTGTCTTACCTGTTTAGATAATTGTGTGTCCAGAAATTAACTTCTTTACGGTGGTATTTTAATTCCTTTTATTCTGACTATATTTTATACCGACACTTAGTGTCTAGATTCTGATTTTTAGGGTCTAATCATAATTCTCTTGGGGCTTAGTGCTTGTTACTTTGGTAACAGTGAAACTTTGATGAAGATTTTAATGATTTGGACATTATCCATAGGGGATCAGCAGTTGCCTCATGTGATTTGCCATATAGCTTTCTTGTGGGGAAAATGGTCCTTTAATTTGTAGCTGGTTCTTGAAGATGTCATACTGAATGAGATTCCTATAACTTAGCCCTTGGACAATAAAGGTCATTATGGTAGGATGATTTTTTTCTGTTTGTGTTTTCTCTTCGTCGGGTTTTCACAGTCACGCATTTTGACATTTTACAAGGAAAGGTCTGCTTAAATTTCTTTAGGGGAATCTTTGTATTTTGAGAGTCCTTTGTTGCTTGAACCAGCAGTAAGTTCTTTGGCATAAAAGGCCATTGGTATTACCAGTTGATCTTCTCAAATACAATTTTCTTCTAAAAACTAGTGTATTCTATTTTGTGTTCATGAGCCATTTGCATGAATTTAAAACGAACTGCATTTCTTGCCTCATTTTTGTTATGCCTGTTTACATGGGTCAGATGAAATAGTATGGTTCAAAAGGAAAGTCCAGTGATTTGAATTGTAGGGAATCTGGAATGGCTAGATCATTGGTTTGGAAACTGGTGCCAGTGAGAGTGAGTGGTTTGAGAGGTAGGATAGATTTCTGAACCCAGCAGGGCTGGGGCATGAGCTGTTTTTTATGCCCAAAGATAGAGATAATTCACTTTTTGTTTACCTCCGGAGTTTTAAAAGTAACATCTTGCACAAAGGAGAGACTAAGATTTATGTAAAAGGAAAATAGTAGTATTAACCAAAAGCCCCTAAGTATATTTTTTATATGTGTTAATTTCCATAAATGGATTAAAAACGACAAGTTAACAGGCTAGTTAATACTTGTCTACTGAGAAGAAACCTCTGTAGAAGCACTGAGGCCATCCTGCTTTCTAAATCATAAATTTTCCTGTTTCTGAGGCTCAGACTTTAAGTGTTCCTTATTGGAACTTAAAACAGGCAGTATGAGTGCTTTAGTAACTTTTACTACAGCACTGATTCTTTGGCACTTGGCAAATCAGTAAGTACTGTGCTTCAAGGGGGAAAGTTTTAGGTCAGTGACTAAAAATTGCTTAGGTGAAAATTAGTCATCCTCTCACTTGTTTGGTAGTGTAAGTATGGTATGTTCTGATTTAGGAAAATGTACCTATGACAGCCACTCCTAGGAAAAGAAGGTATTTCCTTGTTAAAATAAGATGAAAACATTTTAGATTTAAGTTGGGTTGAACAGAAGAGAGAGTTATCTTTGAGAGCCTGTAAAGTCAGTGTATTCACTACCATAGGGTTGGAGAATGTTACAAATTCAGAGCAAAATAGCCACTAATAAGGTACATGAGAGACTCATCACTTCGTATATGAGTTACAACATTTCAAAGCTGTTTAATATATCACATTTTGTTCTTTAATACCTTTGAAGTTAGGCATGCAGCCATTGGTGGGATTTTTTTTGTAGAATAATAACTGAGCCTTTGAGTTAAGTTAGTTATTAAAAAGGTGCAGAATTAATAGAATAAGATTTTTTTTTCTTCCACTGATGTGTCTTAACCTTCTTAGGCTGCCACAGGCTCTTAGAAAAGTACCAACATGGAGTATAAAGACTTTTTAGAACTGATGTCCATGTAAGAAGTTTTCTGTTGTATTTTGAATTTTCTATTTACAAATGGAAGAGTCAGTAGTACCAAGCCATCACTTTGGTTTGTCTTTAGCAATCACTAGGATACTTGTCTAATGAAGCGAGTGATTTTTGAAAGCTAAATGTGTGCTGGGCAGTAGATATAGGCACTGTGGACAGTGACCAAGATAGTATTCTCTCTGCCCTATTAGAACTTTTGAGTGGAGTTTATGCTTAAATGTTTGAATTGATGGTGGTATTTCTTATCCAGCCAACATGTATGAAATGGCTGTTTGTTTTTGAGAGGCCAAAAATAGTTGATATTGGTAATTTTATATGGTTCAACCTAATATCACTAACTAGTAATGATGATTGGTATGCTTCTATGGGTGAAAAGATCAGGGATTTAGCTAACAATAAAACCCCTCTGTTTGTAGACTTAGTTAATCGTAGTCCGTTTTGTGAGTACTCTTGGCTTATATGAATTGTTTTATTGTAACACATTATGAAGAGTGGAGCAACATAAAGGCCACTCATTGTAAAAGGTGTAATACTTTATTAATATTGCTGTGGCACAGAGAACCCTTTTATGTCCATTCACTTAAGGCCAACCACATCATTGGATATGTGCATTTTCTTGAAGGAAAGTAGCTGTGATATTAAAAGTAGCAAGGAATGAAGGTTTTTATGACCTTTTGAATGGAATTAATTTAGCAAAAAGAAATGAGAGACATTGGACATTCATTTATTATTTGATAAAGTCACTATTGTTTGGATTTTGTTGACTTAATTTTAGTTGTGAAGGAATTCTGTTTTCCTTTTTATCAAATAGGATGTACAGTTACCCAGCTCGAGTTCCTCCTCCTCCTCCTATTGCCCGGGCTGTAGTGCCCTCCAAACGCCAGCGTGTATCAGGAAATACCTCACGAAGGGGCAAAAGTGGCTTCAATTCTAAGAGTGGACAGCGAGGATCCTCTTCTAAGTCTGGGAAATGTATGTATTAGTTTTGCAGCTTTGTGATTTTGGTATTTCTTACATGTTGGAATAGGGAAATTAATGAAGTTAGTAATATTATATCTTTGTACAAGTGGCTTTCCATGATTTTAATTATAAAAAAAGGAGAAGATGGTGATTAAGGGGGCCAGATCTGCCTTCTTATCCCCAAGACCCTGGTAATTTGAAAAAAGTCACTAGACTTTAGGGAGTTTGGGGCACCTGTTAAATTTGTGAAACATCAGTCAATAAAACAGTACGAAAATGCTTTAAAAAGAATTGAAGTCTTTAGCAGACCTACAAAAGTCTGAACACAACTGCTAAGGGAAGGAGACACATTAGATCCAGTTTTAGTTTTAGATCCAACTAAAAATTGAGAGTCTCCATTACTGGGACAATCTGGTCCTGGCTCCATTTTTCACCAAGGGTCTCCTGGTGACAACTAGTGTTAGTGTTTGGTAACTGGTAGCTTCTGCTAAAGTTGATTCTAATCTGGGTTTTTTTGTTTGTATTAAAGTGAAAGGAGATGACCTGCAGACGATTAAGAAGGAATTGACCCAGATAAAACAAAAAGTGGATTCTCTACTGGAAAGCCTGGAAAAAATTGAAAAGGAACAGAGCAAACAAGGAGGTAAATGGTTCTGCTGCTTGTTGGTTGTAAAGTTGGGTTAGTACCAAAGACATAAGACAGTTGAAAGTACATGTCGGAATAGGGGGATATAAAGCAATTGAATATAAAATTTGGGAAGGGCATTTGTGTGGGAGGATTTAGACTTGTGCTGCAGTTCTGTGATCATTAGTGGGGATTGTCTACCTTCTGTGGACATTACTTGCCCCTAGACAGACTTGTCCTTCTCATCCCCAGTAGAGATGAAGAATGATAAGTCAGAAGAGGAGCAGAGCAGCAGCTCCCTGAAGAAAGATGAGACTAATGTGAAGATGGAGTCTGAGGGGGGTGCAGATGACTCTGCTGAGGAGGGGGACCTACTGGATGATGATGATAATGAAGATCGGGGGGATGACCAGGTGAAAACCACGGGAAAGGAAAGAAAGAGGTGGTGGAGGGGGGAGCAGGGACACATGGAGTGCCTCTAACTCCATCCTATTTGTGTCTGTTTCTCACAGCTGGAGTTGATCAAGGATGATGAAAAAGAGGCTGAGGAAGGAGAGGATGACAGAGACAGCGCCAATTGCGAGGATGACTCTTAAGCACATAGTGGGGTTTAGAAATCTTGTCCCATTATTTCTTTACCTAGGCGCTTGTCTTAGATCAAAAATTTCACCAGTCCTCTCCTCTAGTATCTTCAGCACATGCTCACTGTTCTCCCCATCCTTATCCTTCCCATGTTCATTAATTCATATTGCCCTGCGCCTAGTCCCATTTTCACTTCCTTTGACGCTCCTAGTAGTTATGTTAAGTCTTACCCTGTAATTTTTGCTTTTAATTTTGATACCTCTTTATGACTTAACAATAAAAAGGATGTGTGGTTTTTATCAACTGTCTCTAAAATAATCTCTTGTTGTGCAGGGAGTGCAGTTCTTTACATTCACACATGAGCTCAGTAACTGCTTCCCTAACTTGCAAGGCAATCTCATTAGTTGACTAGCACCTGAGAGCAGCTTTGAGTTAGAGTGTGTGTGCTAAGCCCTGGGAAGAGTGCTATGTGGGGCTGGTCAACACAAATGTAACAATGTATTTTTGTGAATGGGAGTTGGCATGTCAGATGCATCCTCTAGAAAAATAGTGTTAATAGTCTTAAGATTTGTTTTCTAAAGTTGATACTGTGGGTTATTTTTGTGAACAGCCTGATGTTTGGGACCTTTTTTTCTCAAAATAAACAAGTCCTTATTAAACCAGGAATTTGGAAAAAAACAACCCTGGTTTTTAATTTTTATTTTTGTATTCTATAATTACTTCAAATTCTTTCTTTCACAGCGGACTCTACAAGAACCCTAGAATGTACTAGATGTATTTTTGAGTCACAGTCATTATGCACACAAACATAGACAACTCGGATTCTATGTCATTGGTTGGGTGTTGGCATTAAGGATACAAGTAGCTTTGATATGGAGTGAGGATTCTTTTGCTGAATGGCTTTTAAATCTTAATGAGAAAGTTTGGTAACTATGTTAAACCTCTTGATCAGTGCTTTTGGTCTACTTAGCACCCTTTTTTGAGATTTTTTGGTGTGTGCTAAATTGTTTCATCCTTAAGTAGAAAAGGCTCACGTGTCAAAATTTTAGGAAAATTGAAACAACTGGGCAATGAAACGTCTGTTCCATTTTTGTCCTTGTCTGTGACTCAGTTACCTTCTGGATTCTGAGTTGTACGTATGCCTCAGTGTTACTGAAGATGGGAAAGCTCTTTTCCTGGTCCTCTATAGTCCATGCCCTCCCAGGTACCTGAGAACAAAGGTTATACATTAATTTTGCTTTGAATTAGTTCAGTCCATATGAACTAATTTTTGCCCTTTTCCCCTCAACTTGACTAATTGCATTGATTTTTAGTCATGGTACAGGTTAGCAACCAAACTTACAAGGATGGATTTATTAAACATCTTTCAGATTATGATGCTTACAATAGTCCCAAAAGGTCCAGTTCATGTTTTATATTTTAGATTTTCCAGCAGAGCAGAATGAAAGCATGACTAGTTTGGATTATCATTGACTTAACCCTTGTGTTCCCCAGAAAGTTGCTGTTGTTTCATAGCTGAGCAACTTTATATATCACCTCTGGGCAGAAGTCATGTCCTCTTTATAAGGATCTCATAAATCATTTTTTATAATGGGTGACAAAGCAGAATAGAAGGGGCTGAGCTATGGACTATGGACTACTGTTGGATCCCAGATCCACAGTACAAAAGTACCTTTTGTGTGTTAATTTCATCTATACTACTTACCCACGTAGTTTTTCTGATCTTAGGTGATCTTGCTTTAGCACATTAACTTACAACAAGAAAATAAACTATGCTTAGAGGAAAGGATCAAAGTTCTAAGATGCTGATAAAACTTGTTTTAAGATTATAGTAGCCATCCATATTAGAAATACTAGACCAGTTAGTCTAGGCATGATATGTCTTCTTTTTAATTCCCTATAAAACCAGTATTGAAACTGGAATGCCCTTTTTAAATAGCTAGAGAAATTATCATACAGTCATAGGAAATATACATACAGACATGTACATAGGATTACTGAAAAAATACCAAAGGTATTGGTCTGTTTTGATGAGGAAAAGTCATTTCACACTAGGTCTCAGGCTACTGTGAATTAAAACTCAAGTTAACTAAGAGAACAGCACTAACTTTGTATAATCATAGGTGTACTCTTTTAATACTTTTAAAATTCAGGCTCCTAGGCCAAAACTACAGCAAAGTAAATGAAACATGATTAAATAGCATAAGTTGGTGTCTTTTGAGATCTGATCAAATCCAGATATTACGGACTTTGAAAAAGAGACTAGTGTTCTTAAAGACCATTGACCAGATGGTAGTTACATTACTTAACACTGGGCCCCAGGAAATGAAGATGAGTAGGTTCAATAGAAATTACAGAGGCAGTGCAGCTTAAGGTGGAAGCCTTGACATTTTTGGTCAGCTAATTGTGTAGAGGAATTCTGGGTAACTTGACAGTCTCAAAAAGCCTTAATGCTATTCAGGGTAAATAAGATGTAAAAATACAACCATGCATTTGTTGGGAATAAAATTCAAAATGGATTTTTTTCTCAATATGCCATGAAATCTGAGAAAATAGCCTGGAAGCTTTTAAGAATGCAGTTTCCAGCCAAGGTTGGAAAGTAAGAAAAATTAGGTGATGAAAAATCTCTGAAACATTGGGAAACTTGGGAGCTTGCTAGCTAGGGTACTGTGTAGTTTGATGCTGTCTCACCAGTGAAAGCTAACTTAAAGCTATTGGGCTGGAATGGATGACAAATTTGGAATGCCTAAAAGAGGGTTCCTCTAGATTTTGGTTCAGATGTTACCCCAACATCTGAAACCTGAAGGGATTATAAGGTTAGTACCACTCTGTTTAAAAGCTTGGTTTACAGAGGGAACCTTGGAACAGGAAGAAATGTAAACAGGAACAAGATTACAGTAAATTGGGAATAAACCTGAAGTCAAATGAGGATTGAAAATGTCATGGAAGAAATGAAACAAAAATAAGCATTCCAGCCATATAGTAACCATAAAATGTCAGTAAAGGAATCTACTGAACAACTTAGTAGCAATATGTTATTCAAGGAGTAAGTAGCTTGGGGAAGCAAATCTCAGAGGTATGATAGAGTAAGAACAGGTGACAGTGTACTTCACAAGTGCTTATATTTTTAGGTAGATCTAGATGAATTGGGGTGCATTGTGTAAGTAGCTGGGGAATCAGGAAGTATCTGTACATTGAATGAGATCAGTTGAAAGATGTGCTTTGCTCTGAGAACATGTGCCTGGCCTGTCACAGCATTGTCTGACCACTGGTGGACTAATCTGATTTTCAGAAGAGAACCAGGAACTATCATTTATTGTGGCCTAGGAGAATGAAGGCTTAGGCACATAAACTTTACTGTAGACAGTTGACTTTTTTGAGAAAAATTCAGCTGCACCAATCCAGTTAAAATTTCTGGACCCTAGTTAAAGTCAACCTTGACCAAGAAACTGCATTTCAGTTGAATTTAGAGGTATCAAAGAAAAAGTACTCTGATAATGCAAGGAAAACAGCTAATAGTAAACATTATGACAAATGAGAGTAGCCAGTAAATGAGTTAAATATTACAATGCAGAGTATGGGTTACTAAGTAACTTTGAAGAACCGCACTTGCTTCATCAGTGCTGTACCTCACAGAGAACAAGTATTTTTTATATTATGGCATTAACTAATAAGGAGAAATATTAGTGTTTGAAAAGACTTTGGGATAAAGTAATTTGGCCAGCTAAACTGCATAGCAAAAAAGCATACGGATGTATATTTGGGATAACAATTGCAAGTGTTTGGAGAGACTACATTAGGGGTATTGGAAAATTCTAAGCGAGTTTTTGTTAATCAGGTTTATAATAAAGTAAATCAAGGAAAAGGCCTCAAAACTATGTGGTTGCATTAGTAACTTCCAAGTTAAAAATTTAAGACTTCATACTTACCTGGCAGGGGAGACACCATGACCAGGGTGATGCTTATCCATTGCACTCCGGATGTGCTGACCCCTTCAGTTTCTCCAAATGTGGGAAACTCAACTGCATGATTTGTGGTAGTGGGGGACTGCATTTGTGCTTTCCCCTGAAAAATAAGAAAAATTCAGACTTCAATTACAAAAAGCAGGACCTGTTGGAAAATGTCAAAGCCCTGTTAATGAGTGAAACTGGGACCACCCACCACTTAAATTAGAACTACAAAACAGATACAATGGAGTGAATGTCAGGAAGATAAAGCAGTTAATAGGCATTTCACAACCTAAAAATGTAATTTGAGTAATCATCAGTGTATTATCAACTTAGTTGTCAAGTGGTCCTCACCCTTGCTTGTGCATTAAAATTACCAAGAGCTTTGAAAATCCTGATGGCAACGTGTGCACTCCAGACCAATTAAATCTCTGTGATTGGAACTCCCAGCATCAATGTATTTCAAGCTGCTGTAATCTCAGTTTTCTACCAACATGGGGAGCCACTGTACCAAACATTTCTATGCCCTAGACACTAACGTTGAAGATTCTGTGGTATGAGAATGTGTAACTGCAGACCTGGTCTGCTGCTCACACCATTTTAGCAATGTCTTGTGCAGGAAAAAATACATTTTTAGGTGGGAACCCACCACATCAGCTACTGAGGCTCAAGGCTAATATCATTCACAGAAGGTTTTATATGCACCTAGCACGATACTGGTTAAGCATTTAACATAGAATCTAATTTGATTTTTAGCACAATCCTATATCCTATATATGTAAGTATGGAAAAAGTAATTATTGGTTCAGTGAGTTCCAGAGAGATTAAGTACCTTGTTTAAAGCCCCATTGTTTAAAGCTCCATAGTTATTAAATAGTAGAATGAACATTTCAACATGTGATCTGATGTTAACATCCAAGGATTTTTGCTCAGGAGAGGAAATTATATTTTGGAATCCTGAATCCCAGGAAACGACAAACTATTTCCAAAATATGGCAACAGATTCTAGGATCCTCAAAAGGAAAAGTACTGTCACCATTTTTCTGTTCATTCTGTACACTGAAAACTAGTGTGGTTTGTATACCTAACAGTTGCAAAAGCACATTATTGAAAATGCTTGGCTAAGCTGAAGTGCTGCTGTTGAATGCAACATCCTTGGGCTTTAAAAATATAGAAACAATACAAAGAATTCAATCTCCCCCTCATTTTCCTCAGCTCTTACTGGGACACCCCGAGGCACTATTTTAAACCATTTCTTGTACCTCAAACAACAAACGTTACAAATAGCTTATAAAAATCACTTTGTCAGGACAATACTCTGATTACACAACTGGCCCTGTAGCTTGATGCCTGTGTGGCCCTTTTGAAAGTACCTGGCACCATCACTGTGAGTGTCCTGAGACTGGCCTTCCAAAAAAGTACTCAATATGAACAGGGTTCATTGACAAGGTGAGTAACCTTTGCAGACCCACACAAGCCAAATAATGAATTTCTGGTGTGAATTTGGGACATAAGTTGGGGTTTAGGGGTGGGGAGTGAGCTTGAGAATCTACCTATTATAATAATTCAGTGACTCAGAACCAAGCCGTCCATTTCCAGCTTGGTCCTTTGTTAACAGGTTAACAGGTTCCCATTGAGACTTGGAAATAGTCCTATGCCTAGGGACCATCAAGTCTTCGTGTCTGATGCAATTTTTTTTGTCTGTTTTGTCCCTGCTCTAAGGGATGCTTGCTC